AAGTGAGCTCCGTGTCATTTACTGGGAGGGAGACATTCCATCGCTCTGCAGGGATATTAACAAAACCAGGGCCACATCCCTTAGAGCAAAGGTTTCCCTCAGCTCAAGCCCGCTCTTTGCCCTGCACCCCAGAGGTGGCTGCATTCCGGGAGCGCTGCATGTACATCGCACGAAAGGCTCTGTATGGACCTCATGGACCTATTCAGACCCTGCCTAACCCAGTCTGCTCTCTCCCGCTTTGGGATTTCCAGTCCAGACAGTACAAAACGTCACCCGGCATCCTTCCCCCATCTTCATTTCAGTGTGGGTACCAGCATCGAAGCGGCAAGGGAGAATTGCAGTGGCAGAGAAGTCAGAGATAGATCCAATCTACCTCGGAGCCTGGTGCAGCATAGGTCCCTCACAACTCCAATGCTAACAGCGTGCCCTCTCCTTTAAAAAAACCTCAGGTAATCAGGCTTGCATCAGTTCCCCTTGGAAGTCTAACCGCACTCATTGTCAGTAAGTGCTGCTTAAGACTTAGCCTTCAATTCATCCCATTGTACACACACACACCCCCTTCCTATACTCACTACATCCGCCTAAATAACCCTCTGCTGGATTTGCAGCCTGGAAATACTGCTAGCCAGTTGGCATGTCTCCCGCATGTCAACCAAGCTAGACATATCGGGCCTGATCCACAGATCAGTGAAATCAATGGAAAGACTCCCCTGGACTTCCAAGGCCATTCAACTTTCTGCATGAGGCCAGGTCTTGCTGACCTTCTCTGAGGTCCCTCCAGTGCGATTCCTCCTGCTTCAGGGCTCTGATTACTAGAGGTCAGGAGGAGACCTCATGTGGGAGACAGATTATCCCACATCTGCTACTGTGGGGCTCTTATACCTTCCTCTGAACTGTCTGGTGCTGGTCCCTGCCAGAGACATGGTGTTGGACTATGCACCTCGGGTCTGATCCGGTCTGGTGGCATCTATGTGCCTGTGTTGATTCCATTTTAGGATATACGCAAGGCCTTGCTTCCAGAGGGTCCTAGATTCTATGAATAGGAAAATGTCACTCCCTGCAATAAAGGAAGTGGGGTTCTGGAATAAAAATGTGAGTTCGGGCTGGGGTGTCATCTGTGCCTGTGCATGCGATTGTGTGCAGGGCGGTGTGTGTGTGAGCGGGATGCATATGTGTGTGTGTTGTGTAAACTGTCGTGCTCTGCCGTAGGAAATCACATTAGGGATTAAACAGCGGTGGCTGCACAGACTCTCCGGCAAATTACAGGCTACTGCAAGGATCGAGTTTCGTTTACCCTCCGAAAAAAAAATTACGGGCCAAGGAAGAAGAAAATATACTCTTTATATGGGGCAGCGAAGCTTTTACAAGTGCGGAGGGGGGCGGGCAGTGAGCTCACACGCCTGCGGCAGGAAATCATTATCTCCCCTGAAAAGGAGACGTTTTGTTGGGAGCCTGGAAACAACCTCAGTGTTTCTTTGTGCAGAGCTCTGTGCGTGTGTATCTACACAGTGTGTGTGTGTGTACAGACCCTCGGCAGGTGTCGAGCTGCCCAGCTCTGTTCAGTGGAACTCTGCAATTTGTACCAGCCCTGGGCCTGGCCCACTATCCTATTTGCTAGCAGCTCGGGTGTGTTTGTGTCGGGGCTCTTTGTGCAACTCGGCTGGGTTCGTCCAGTGCGGCGGTGGTGTCGCGCGGACTGTGAGTGTGCCTGCGTCAGTGTGTGTTGGTGTGCACAGCCAGGGCATCTGTTCTAGGAGCCGCATTCTCCAAAAAGCTGCGGGCTCAGCACTCACCGTCAGTGCCAGATTTTCACGTCCTCTGCTTGCATGAGAAGTGCAGAGTCCAGCCGCACTGGAAGCCAGCTGGCTGGGATCTGGGTCCCTCCTTCACTGTGTGGGGGGGTCACTGGCATGTGCTTTTTGGGGCGGGGCCTATCACTCACTCTGTGCACCTACAGCACCTAGCACAATGGGGCTCGGCTCTCAGTTAGGGCTTGGGGAGAATGGGGGGACCCCGGCATGGGGGAAGAGGGCACACAGAGCCCTTGGCATGAGGGACCTTGGTGTGGGAGGAGGAGAAGAAACGGGGGCCCCCAGAGCTCCTGGCATGGCGGGGGGGGCAGGGAGTCCCCAAAACAGAGGGGGATGGGAGGGTGAGACATCGGGAGCTCGTGGGGTGTGCACTGGGCCTATAGAAGCAATAAAGTGTGCAACCCTCTGGTGATAATAACAAAGTGTGTGTGTGTGTGTTACCCATTGCACCAGCCTTTAGGCCCGGATGCTACCAGCTGTTGCCAGCGGTGAGTACCTTTGCTGAGACAGCACACTGGCTCTGCCACTCTGTGGCCAGACTGCCAAGGTGTAAGCCAGGTGGTGGTGGTGGTGGTGGTGGTGGGTGCACTGCTCCCTACCTCTCCATGGTGAGTTACCTCATTCCAACATGGGACTTTACAGGGCGCTCTCATAAAGCCCCCTGCCTGCGTCCTGCCTTGAGTCCCTGCTGCTCACCCAAACCTTTGAGAGGTCTCTTTAAATAGAAGCGGGAGGAAAGTCCTGACCCCACCTCCGCCCACAAAACCAGCTCATTTGTTTTCTGTCCACACTGAGAGAGCGAGACCCCAGGGATCAGGCAAAGATGGGCTATAAAAAAAATCCCTGGAGGGTCCTACACCCGGAGGTTACTAACAGAATCTTTGAGCTCATGTCGCTGGGCTTGAGGCTTTCCTGTGTGGATCAAACTGGGTTTACTGGAGGCCAGCGACATGACAAGCCGGAAACACCAGCACTCCCTCTCAGGGGAGCTGAACATCCTCCGGCCTGGCCGGATGTCAGCCAGCGTTTAGCTGAGACCCATGGACTGAGAGTGCTCAGCTCCTTGTGGGCCAGGGCCCTAGACTGTAAAGTCCTCAGGACAAGCTTGGTGTCTTATGGACGTGTGCAACTCCATGAGCACCTGTCGTGATTGCATGGGTCTGATCCAAAATTCCCATTAAAGTCTTCGGGAGGGGAGTCTTTCCATTGCCTCTAATGGGAGTTTGAGTCATAGGCTCTAATTCTCCGCTGGTGTCAACAGCCAACTGCCACCCAAGTCAAGGAAGCATTCACACCAGCAGAGAATTTGGCCCACAGTTTTTAAGAGACCACTATGATCATCTCTGGCCTGTGCATAACACAGGTCAGAGAATTTTGAGAAAGAAAGAAAGAAGGCTGGAAGGATAGATAGATAGATAGATAGATAGATAGAGGGGGTGTATGGGGATAGATAGATAGATAGATAGATAGATAGATAGATAGATAGATAGAGGGTGTGTGTGGGGATAGATAGATAGATAGATAGATAGATAGATAGATAGATAGAGGGGGTGTGTGGGGATAGATAGATAGATAGATAGATAGATAGATAGATTTAATGAAAAATCTCTCACTACCTGTTGGTAAAAATTAACAGGCCAAATTCATCCCTCTGTGAACCCATTGACTGGCCCAGTGTTTACATCTTCTACAAAGTGAATAATGACCCAGCTGACACCCCCTCACCCCAATCTCACCCAGCCTGAACAGCAGGACAGAGATGTGAATCTGCCGAGTTTTCCCCAAGTTTATAAAAGCAGCCCTTCCGAAAACAGTCTGAGCATTGGTCCGAAAACAAAAACAACACAAGTTCCCTAAGGGCTTCTTCAAAGCAGAGTCTAACTAAAACCCCAGCCCCACTTCACAGTCACTCCTGCACCACGCAATTCCTCCCCAAAGAATGGTTTACAACTGCAGCCATTATTTTATTTATTTTATGCACCCCACCCAACAACAGCCCCTCCTCAACTAAACGAAAAATCTCCCTGAGTCACAACTAATAAGAATAGAAAAATGAAGCCATGCAATGTTAATTACCTCCTCAGGATATAGGAGGATAAATGCAGCTCTTATATGGGCTGACCGCATAATTACAGAGACTGGCTGCACAAAAATGTTAATTCCAGACCAGGAAAATGTGTTCCACATTAATCCTGACATGAAATTTACTGGAAAGAATGAATGAGGGACTCGCATTGCTTTTCTGTCTCTCTCTCTCTCACACACACACAGGGCTGGATTCTGCTCTCACCCCCAGCCCCAATGGGGGCAAAATCAAAGCAGCTGTTAATGGAGCTACATGGGGGAGATGGAGAGCCAGCCTCAGTGTCTTGCCCACCTGTGAGATCTCTAGATTGTCCAGTACACAATCAGGCTAGAGCTAAACACAGGCCACCAATGCAAACCAAAGGCTGGTTCTGGTTCTGATCCGTGAGAAGCAGCTTGATTCTGCTCTCACATACACCAGGGCAGTTTGAGTTTAGCTGAAGTTTGCAGGGAGGTCAGTGACAGCCGAGCCCAGCCCCAAACCCAAACCCTTTCCCCTTCTCCAGCGAAGTCGGTGGCAAAACCCCTTCGATCGACTTCAAAAACTAAAGGACTGGAGGGGTGGGGCGCACCCACTCCGCTCTGTAATGCCCCACGTATTTGTAAGCCGTGCAAACCGACAGCCTCTAAGGCTAAGGAGATCCATGCAAAATCCAGGGGCTGCGCCTGGTCGTATCCTCAGCCCCCCCCCCCCCCTTTAAAATGCAAACCGATTTTACTCACCGTTCCCTCCCCCGATCAGAGAAACCGGGTAACTTTGACCTCTCTGGAGCAAGGGGGGGGGGGCGCTTCAGAGGAATCGCAGGGGAAGGCAAAACCCCCCGTCCCCTTCCTCTAGTGTGCACGGCACTCTTTCCTTGCACGCGGGGTGAGTGAGTGTGTGTGGGCGTGCAAGGGAGGGGGGGGAGCGTGTGTGAAACCTGGATTCCAAACGCTGCAGCCCGATCCCAACCCGCTGATTCCCACGGGCCAGGTCAGTGTCTCCCGAACCCCCCCGCCCCAGCCCTGTTACTGTCAAGCACACAAGCCTCTCCCGGCTGGCAACCGGCCTGGGTCCTACTGGCCAGCGGCCGGGGGGGGGGGGCGAGGAGCCGGGGCACTCACCTTGCCAGGGAAGAGCTGGCTGAGCAGCAGGAGGCAGAGAGGAACCCTGGTCAGTTGCATCTCGGCTTCTCCACCGTCCGGTCCGTCTGTCCCGGCCGCCTCTACCCCTGCCCCCCTTGCAATGAATAAGCAAATGCAGGGCTCGTGCGGGGAGCGGGGGGGGGTCGTCCTTTGATCCAGCGGGTCTGTTGTTTGGAGGGGGGGGCGCTGATGCAAAGTTAAGAGAAACCCCGCCGCCTCTAGCAGTCCTGGGAGAGGGAGGGTGTGTGTGTGTGTGTGTGTGTGTGTGTGTGTGTGTGTGTGTGTGTG